TCCTGCTGAGTCTGAAGTAACTGGGTTTAAATCGCACACATAGAGTTAGCAAAGCAGTCTGTAAATGCAGAAATGTCTCCAGTGACCTGGTGTGAACTTTTGACATGAATGTTGCCACCTGTCTTCCACCATCTCACGAAACAGTAGGCAGTCGTGAAAAATGAGTTAATTTCCTCCTTTCCTCATCTTTTCGCCTCTTTTGTAGCATTTAAGCTTAGAGCCAAGGTTGTGTATCTTGAAGCTGTAAATCTAGAAGGGACCGCGGGAGATGATGTGTGATATCTTAGTCAGTCTGGCTCTTAGCCATCCAGGAAAGATTGTTTTCTAAACCATTTTCAAAATCAGCAGAATGGAGCCTTGCCTTTAAGCAGTACCTCTTATACCTCTTTTCTTTCTAAGCTAGTTCGCTTTTTAATGCCACATCCTCACCTTGTGGTCCTTTCTTGAGTTGGAAGATGGCTCTTTGGTACTGAGTTTTAAAAGCCATTTGCACACTTGAAAAATACCCGAGTCTCCCCACAGGCAGCCCTCTTTTCTGCAGGAGCAAGTAGCCTTCAGCGCACCTCCACCTCTTCTCACTTGTCTCTGCTCTGGTCTTCCTATCATTGTTACTCACCACTGGGCCTTCTAGAGTTTTCCCCCTTCCTTTTTCAACTTGAAGTTTAAAACCGCATATAACGTTCCCTAGGGAAAACCTGATAGGTTAATCAGCAAGATTGCTGACTTCCATAGCTCATATGTTGATGTTCACTTTTCAACAATTGACATTGTGTTGTCTGCTGTCTCTCATGAGCCCCAGGTTTCAAACTAAAATCTGTTCATGTTGTGAGTGGAGAGTGAAGCTCCCTCTCCCCCCAAGAGAACATAGCTTTTATATGTCCCTGATCTAATGGACATGTAATTTAATCTGTCGTATCCAACAGATACGAAATCCAATGTAAAAATCCTTAACAGATAGTTTTGCATCTCAGCTACTGTATTCTACATCCCCTTTGTGTCCGTGTGATTGGACGGTGAGCACAAATGCTGCTGTGATTTTATTCTCAGAGGATCTGAGCCAGACCCAGCTCTGTTGATGCTGTGGGTTGGTGTTTTCTCAGTGAGCTTCCGCTGGGGTATTGGGGGTGGGAGGGATTCTTCCTGCTAAGAGAGGACAGTCTTGCAGACTATGCCCACGATGCCCATGATATACCAGTAAGAGTATTTATAAATTTTGAGCCCTAAGTTTATGCCATGCTAAGTGCTTAATGTCAGTTATCTCAATGATCACTGAATCGTAATAGGTACAGCTTCCATTTGGACCAGAAGAACAGAAGACTGCCTTTCAGAGGGATGTTTCCAGGAAAAAAATGGAAACTGATACGTCTGATATGTTTGACCGTAGTCAGAGAAGTTTTAGAGTCAGGTAGAGAGTTTAAGGGAAAAAATTGTCATAGGTACACAGAAAACGAATCAAGTGAAAATCCAGTGAAACAAAAAAACTGTACAAGTAAATAAATATACTCACGAGCCACTATGCAGCTCAGCTATTAAAAATATATATATAGCAGATATTTTAGAATGTAAACAATAAATACTGATTTAAGCAAAAATGGTGAGATCATTTGAATTAGTTAGACTCAAACCAGAAAAACAGGAATGACTTCAGGTATTTAAAACAGAAGGAATTTAATCCAGAGACTTGATTATTGAGGTGATTGAGATGAGAAGCCAAAGAGGAAACAGGAAGGCAAACAGAGGTGAGCAAAACAGGAAGCTGCTTCCATCCCTAGACCAGGAGGACAGGGGGAGGGGCCCTGTAATTGGAGCCCAGTGGCCAGGAAGGTGGCAGAACTAAATTCTGGTCTATAGAAGAAAGCCACGAGGTCACACCTTAAAATGAAAAACCAAGAACTGGCATTAAAAACACATCATGTGGAAATACAGAGGTAAATACCAACAGAAATCACTAAAATAATGGATGGTCACTAAATCACTAAAAAGCAAGAGGGAGAACTGGGGAGTAGTATTTTTCCTTAAAAGGTTTATAAATCCCATCTGCCTTCTTAAAAACGTATTTCACTAATGAAAAATTAAATTGAGAAGAAAAGCGTACTGTAGGTTTGTATTTCTGTGACTAGGGCTCCAGCTCTTACACCTGTGTGTCTTTCTCCCTCTCAGGTATGTTGACGACGTGATTAGCCGCATTGACAGGATGTTCCCTGAAATGTCCATCCACTTATCCAGACCCAATGGGACGTCCGCCATGCTTCTCGTAAGTTCTGCCTGACCTGTTTGTAGGGACACGTGCAAGGACATTGGCCTCCAGGTTAACCTGTTTCTGTGTGGTCGGAGCTCTAGAATGGAAATTAAATTCCAGTTTGATGGTGAACAGCATTATTTCTCTTTACCGTCATTCTGTAGTATGTTCTACATGCTTTCGAATGAAATCGCAGAGCCCATCTAAGAGTTACGCAGATAGGAAATACAGTGTGAGACCCTGTCCCCTGTGAGTCAGTTCATGGTGTTTTGGTGAACCTGTCTTATAGTGTACCAAAGACAATAGGAATGCTCGTCTATTGGATCCTGCTATGGGAAATCATTTATAAAATCCATTCCGTATTTGAAGAAAGTGTCTGAATGCTTATCACCGATGGTTTCCGATTTTGTTGTTTCTTTTTTCTTTTTTTCTTTTTTTCAATATTTATTTATTCGTTTGTTTGTTTTTGGCTGTGTCGGGTCTTAGCTGCGGCACGCAGGCTCCTCTCTAGTTGTGGTGCGTGGGCTCAGTAGTTACGGCATGCAGGCTTAGTTACCCTGTGGCATGTGGGATCTTAGTTCCCCGACCAGGGCTCGAACCCACGTCCCTTGCATTGGAAGGTGGATTCTTAACCACTGGGCCACCAGGGAAGTCTGATTTTGCTGTTTCTGATGTGGGTTTGCTCTGAGCGAGTTGGCCTCCTGACCTCATCACTGATGTTTGTATTCACATAAATTCACCAAAGACAGGTGTGTTTGGGAAATACGGTAGAATAGAAGTGCTAGATTATAGTAGCAGTTAGAAAGGCACAGAGACTGCAGTGATGAGGTGCTTCTCTGGCGCTCTGGGTACTAATACACATGCTTGGAGAGCCCTTCCTCCAGCACAGATTTTGAGGAGCCTCCATGTTTTACAGAAAATGAGAATTAACTGGTTAAGAGTGATGGTTTTTGATGGACATCAGGAAGGCAGGCTTCAGGACTGAGTGTTGTTTTACGTCTCACTAGCGCTGCTGCTCTGGGGCCTGGTGGGAAGTCCCCGGACTTCAGCGTGCTACCACTGTAAACTCTTATAAATAGGTAGTCACCCGGGACGAGTGACGGTTCACTCAGTCCACTCACCTGAAGAGAGCAGGCTTATTGTGTGTGCATGTGTGTTTTTCTCTTAAGAAAGGAAAAGACGTGGGATTGTTAATTGGGCGGGATTTCACATGTGAGGCAAAATTAGTGACGTTCATCTGGGTAACATGCTACTTTTCTTTGAAATTCTTTCAGTTAAAAAATACAGCGAATGAGATAACACAGTGTTCTTTTGCTAGAAAAAGAAAACAGTTTGTGTACGTCCAGAAAAACATGCAATATTTTCTGCCCCGGTTAAACGTACAAATTGTCTAAATGTTAAGATCCTCTAGACCCAGCAGCTGAAACATAAATCCCACTTCCAGGGTACTTGACAGGGACCAAAGAGTTAATGGAGATAAAAGTGAAAGTGTCCACAGTGAGATAGGTTTGCTCAAATTATTTCTGGGTCATTGAGCCTCCATTTCCTGATGAAGGTATAGGGATTTGGCGTTGACAGGAACGAGCAGGGAGAACAGGCTTCTAGGCAAACAGGTCTAAGATATTAGAGTTACTTCCACCTGAGAAAGTGGGCTTTTATTTCACAGCGACCTGTCAGCCTCATCTGCTTTCTCACTGAGCTTCTGTTTTCATAGACTGAGGATGAGAGTTTAGGGGCTCGATCAAGGACAGAATTCGCTTTTATACACACCGTTTTCACTGCCATGAGTGGCTAATTCAGATCACTGTGCATCTGGCCAGCAAGCTGTCATCTTCCTTAGGTGACATGGGAATTCACACAAGGTGGTGTCTGTCTATAGGAAGAGCAGTGGGTGATCTGATTCGGAATTAAATTGCCAGGTGGATAATCATACTTTTAACATCATGGCTTTATTTGGCTTTTACTTTTAAAGATGGTATTTTATTAGACTGCAGATCCCTAGGCCAATTGCTGTCACCACACACATCTTCTCTGAGGTCGAAGGGAATTTTCACCTGGGCGGAGAGTGGGACCGGCAGCTGCCACCTCCCCTCATCCCCTCGCTAGTCACCTGTGCCCTGTGACCGGTGGAGACAGTGTGAGACCCGTGCTGTAGGCAGTGGGGCGCCACTGCGTGAGGTTCAGGCAAGACTGAAACTTGTTTTCTGGAGATCCTTCTGAAATGAATTGTGTGAATCTGGGAGGTGGTGCACTCTGAAAGCTTTGGGAGGCAAGTGAGACTGATGGGGGGACCAACTAGGCCGCTGAAGCAGGACGCAGTCCTGCTGACACCTCCCTGGCAGTCTCTGGGCAGTGGGCAGTCTCTGATGACACCTCCCTCTGCCTGCTTGGCTGAAGCCTGACGTGCACCCGTGCTTTGTAATAGAGCAGCGTTTCCTCCTGAGTCAGCCAGGCTTCCGTGAGTGCGGGCGACAGAAACCTGCTCTGATGAACTTAAGCAAGAAAAGGGTTGGCTTTTGTCTTTGTTTTGCTTTTTAATGATGCTGGATGCTCACAGACATGAAGATAGAGCTGCCTTGCTAGGAGGGACAAAAACCAGGTCCACTCCAGGGGTGTCAGGAGCAGGACAAGGTCCCTTTTTTTTTTTTTTTTGCGGTACACTGGCCTCTCACTGTGGGGCCTCTCCCACTGCGGAGCACAGGCTCCGGACACGCAGGCTCAGCGGCCATGGCTCACGGGCCCAGCCGCTCCGCAACATGTGGGATCTTCCCGGACCGGGGCACGAACCCGCGTCCCCCGCATCGGCAGGCGGACTCTCAACCACTGCGCCACCAGGGAAGCCCGACAAGGTCCCTTTTGGACTCTGTGGCCCAAGTGATTTGACCTCAACTGCCTTTCGTCCTTTCATCCTGCTCCTGTGCTCATATATCCGAGGGGAAACACTCCCACTGGTCTAACCTGACGTTGTCCCTCCCCCTGGGGGGTGGGTCCTGCCTCGGCAGCCCCCGAGAAGCATGTGGAGTGGAGGAGGTCATTCCTCAGGGGAAGAGAGGCAGGGCCGAGCAAGCAGTCCGTATGACAGAGCACATGTCCCCTGCCCCCTGAATCACGCGGAGCCTTGTGCTTTACCTAGCACTCATCTCCTTTCCTCCTCGTAGAGGCCCTCAAGGTAGGTAGCGCGGATGGGCTTCATTTCACAAGTGAGGAAACTGAGGTGGTGGAGGTCGTGGTTTCTCCAGGCTTGTGCAGCCGGGACACGGCTTCCGGGCCTCCGGGGTGCTTCTTCCTCCCGTCTCTGATTGTACTTCGTAGTGCTGGTGAGCAAGATTTGGGTGATCAGACACCAGGCGGGTAATTTTTTCTTGTTTTTTTTTTTTTTTTTTTAACATTTTTTTGCTTTACAATGGTATGTTAGTTTCAGCTTGACAACAAAATGAATCAGTTATATATATACATATGTTCCCATATCTCTTCCCTCTTTGTCTCCCTCCCTCCCACCCTCCCTATCCCACCCCTCCAGACAGCCACAAAGAACCGAGCCGGTTTCCCTGTGCCATGCGGCTGCTTCCCACTGGCTATCTACCTTACGTTTGTTAGTATATATATGTCCATGTCCTCTCTCGCCCTATCACAGCTCACCCTTCCCCCTCCGCATATCCTCAAGTCCGTTCTCCAGTAGGTCTGTGTCTTTATTCCTGTTTTACCCCTAGGTTCTTCATAACATTTATTTTTTCTTAAACTCCATATATATGTGTCAGCAGACGGTATTTGTCCTGCTCTTTCTGACTTACTTCACTCTGTATGACAGACTCTAGGTCTATCCACCTCATTACAAATAGCTCAATTTCGTTTCTTTTTATGGCTGAGTAATATTCCATTGTATATATGTGCCACATCTTCTTTATCCATTCATCCGACGATGGGCACTTAGGTTGTTTCCATCTCCGGGCTATTGTAAATAGAGCTGCAGTGAACATTTTGGTACATGACTCTTTTTGAATTTTGGTTTTCTCAGGGTCTATGCCCAGTAGTGGGATCGCTGGGTCATATGGTAGTTCTATTTGTAGTTTTTTAAGGAACCTCCGTACTATTCTCCATAGTGGCTGAACCAATTCACATTCCCACCAGCAGTGCAAGAGTGATCCCTTTTCTCCACACCCTCTCCAGCATTTATTGTTTCTAGATTTTTTGATGATGGCCATTCTGACTGGTGTGAGATGATATCTCATTGTAGTTTTGATTTGCATTTCTCTAATGATTAATGATGTTGAGCATTCTTTCATGTGTTTGTTGGCAGTCTGTATATCTTCTTTGGAGAAATGTCTATTTAGGTCTTCTGCCCATTTTTGGATTGGGTTGTTTATTTTTTTGTTATTGAGCTGCATGAGCTGCCTGTAAATTTTAGAGATTAATCCTTTGTCAGTTGATTCATTTGCAAATATTTTCTCCCATTCTGAGGGCTGTCTTTTGGTCTTGTTTATGGTTTCCTTTGCTGTGCAAAAGCTTTGAAGTTTCATTAGGTCCCATTTGTTTATTTTTGTTTTTATCTCCATTACTCTAGGAGATGGGTCAAGAAGGATCTTGCTGTGATTTATGTCATAGAGTGTTCTGCCTATGTTTTCCTCTAAGAGTTTGATAGTTTCTGGCCTTACATTTAGGTCTTTAATCCATTTTGAGCTTATTTTTGTGTATGGTGTTAGGGAGTGATCTAATCTCATACTTTTACATGTACCTATCCAATTTTCCCAGCACCACTTATTGAAGAGGCTGTCCTTTCTCCACTGTATATTCCTGCCACCTTTATCAAAGATAAGGTGACCATATGTGCATGGGTTTATCTCTGGGCTTTCTATCCTATTCCATTGATCTATCTTTCTGTTTTTGTGCCAGTACCATACTGTCTTGATTACTGTAGCTTTGTAGTATAGTCTGAAGTCAGGCAGCCTGATTCCTCCAGCTCCATTTTTTGTTCTCAAGATTGCTTTGGCTATTCGGGGTCTTTTGTGTTTCCATAC